GCACATGGAGAGGCTTTACAAGAGCTACATGCGCATGCTTAGCTTCCTTGCGCTTGCACATTGATTTGCAGAGTTTGTTTGCACTCAAAAGAGTCACTGGGAACTTGCGTGTCTCGTCCAATAGAACGGTACGCTCGTTCCCCTTTGCATCACGCACCACGAATTGAGTATCCGCCCACGTGGTCCTTAGACAATGAGCCTTTAACCAGCCGAAGCCAATGACCGCGTCAAAAGGACACTTGTCCAAGACGTAGAAGTTCAGCTCATGTGTGACAGTGTGATCCTTGTCAAAAGTGATGCGCACACCTTTGACAGCATGTGTGGAGGTGACAACCTCTTGGTTGCCTACCTGGGTCTGACAAGGGTTCTGCAATTCCACTTGCTTCATTCCCAGGCCCGCCTTACGAATCCCGTTAGGAAAAAATAAGTTAGTCGTTGAGCCATTATCAATCAGCACACGAATGTATCGACAGTTAATGGGCAGCTTAAAGAAAATCCGTTCCACACTCCCTTGAACACAGCGTCGCTGCTTGAGCTGCAACCAATGTTCCAGGTGAGAGTGGAAGTTTACTTCCTTAGTCTCCTTCCAAGGCTCAGTGTAAAGTACTTGGACTGCAGCAGCCTTGGTTTCAGCATCAGCCTGGGCTTCAAGAGCAGGCTGTTGATCAGATTCAGGCTCCTTGGAGGGCCTGTTCAGCTTCTGCAACCTCTCCCCCTCCTCTTGCATCCTTTTCTTTTCGTTATACTCTTGTCTTTCGGCCGCCACCATCTTATTATTCAACTGTGCTTTCTTCTTCTCCGATAGTAGATTCTTCTCTGCCTTGTCTGTTGCAGATGCCAACTTAACTTCCGGTGCCCGAACTCTCCCATCCAATCCATCGCTTCCATCTGCAACAACCTAACTTCCCCAGCATGGCTGCTCTCAGCCTTTTCTTCTTGTGGCTGGGTTCTCCTCATTTCCAGCTAGTCTCCCTCATCTTCTTCTTCTTCTTCTTCTTTCAATTCCTCCAACATTTTTCTCTCCTTCTCCTTCATCTCCTTCTCCATCTTTTCTCTCCCTTCCAACAACTTCTTCTTCACCACCTCCTCCTCCTCCCTTTTCTTCTCCTCTTTTTCTTTCTTTTTTTCTGCCAAGCGGCGGTCTATCTCAGTCCGTTCTTCAACTGTCTGGGCCTGCGTTGACTTCCGAGACCTCAACAACATATGTGAGAAAAAGGTTCGCTGGAACCAAGGAGGAAAGAATAAGCGAAGTAGGGGTCCCCATAGCACAGACAGGGACAGGAGTGTGAACATGGGATAATCGTCCATGGTGATCGAAGGCACAAGTACCTACCCTCCACCTCCTCACCACTTAGATCTAACCCCAACTACTAATTACTAACTCACGAGTGGGTGTCATTGTGTTGACTGCTGAATACCTTCCCAAAACTATATATGTATACACTTTTTTTTTTTTTTTTTTTTTTTACGAGTGGACTGGTTGCTAGACTCAACCATGTCACGAGATTTGGACCAGCCCAGCAACAGCGACAATTAGGATGAGGAAGGGACCAAAAACCAAGACAGATCAGCAAGCAATACAGGTTTAATGGGGGGGGTGTACTTCACTCCAATGAACGTTCCGTTGATGAAGCTCCACAACCGCTCCAACGCTCCAACGCAGCAGCAATCAGGTACGTAATCACCACTCAACAGGCCCCTTGTTCCTCGGCCTACTTCTCTACCCCCTTCGTCAGTCTTCCCACTCAACTCTATCTCTTATAACTCCTCTTCTCACCAGCCTTAATCGTTGCCAGTGATGTCCAGTGGATGAACGAGCAACTGCTCCGATACCAGTTTGCAACACACCTCTTAGTTCAACACCAGTGAGCGCACATATTCACACCACATGCATGTATGCGATCACACAAAGTTCACACAGGAGACCAGAGAGATTAAGACCAGGTAACGCAACTTATGAATTCCAACAAGTTATTACAAGAGCAATAAGAGTTCAAGTCACCAACGCTCATTAGCGCAAACCAAAGGTAACCAGTAACCAGAATAAGCTCTCAAGTAAGTATCTCTTCCCCACTGCTCTTCTCTCTTAGGAATATCTTCTCCTCGCTGGTCTTCTCCCTAGTAATGTCCTCGCTGTGTCTTCTCTCCCTACATGCGTGCACACTCACTAACTCTACTGAAGGATCTACTCTAAATGCACCCACTGACATGCCTACTAACTATCTGGAGTCTACTACTAGCACTCTACACTGGCGCAGCTATGGCTGCCTTCTCCCTGCCAGCGCTTACACTTCCTCTCTCTCTCTCTCTCTCTCTCTCTCTCTCTCTCTCTCTCTCTCTCTCTCTCTCT